TTTGGATCCTTCTGCGCGAAAACTATTACTCTTTGACGTAAAATCTAAACGAAACCGACTTAAACTAGTAACGTTTTATTTAGGAGACACAAGTGAAATATTAAAAAGCACTTTAAATGATTCAGAAGTCATTAAACCCTCCCTTATAACCCTCTTAAACTCCAAAGGACCAGAAACGAATCTAAAGTGTTAAAAGTCTTACCTGTCGACCACACAGTCCCTTATTTGCACATAGCTCTTCGGGAAGGCACCACTAACGTCCTTCTTGAGGCTTTTGCCCCAATACCAGGAATCCGTCTCTCGCTCAAGGTGGAGTAGCTCGCCGACATCAAAGGAGAGATGGAGAGAGCCGGGTTTGGCTGTAAAGTTGTATATGGCTGTGGAAGAAAATAAAATTTTTATTTAACATGAAGATTAAAGTCAAGTCATTTATTTCAATTAGACAACTAAAACACTTTTGAACGTCAACAAAAAAATTAAAGTAGATTCCTATTTAGAACGAGCAGGAGAAACTCCATACCATTACAGAAGACATCCTAGTTGTAGTGGAGTAAGTTTTTTTAACGTAAGTTAAATTTTAAGGGACCACTAAACTACACTAAGCGGCAGTCGTGTCGTTTGGATATCATTGACAAATTATTTTAGAATTTATTAGCCATACTTAAGTATTTAATGTAATATTATTATATAAAGCTGAAGGGTTTGTTTGTTTGTTTGAACGCGACAATCTCAGGAACTAATGGTCCGATTTGAAAAAATATGTTTGTGTTGGATAGTCAATTTATTGAGGAAGGCTACTTGATATAAAATGTAATGCACGCTACTATCAATAGGAACCGAGCAAAGCGGATAATATAGGGCGGAATTAATACTTTAACTATATTATATATTTTTTTAAAGACGTTGCCCTACATTCGGATTTTCGCCTGTGTCGTGGGTGCGTTACAAACATACAAGTTCACATACACATGACACCCAGACCCGGAACAACAATTTGTGGATCTCACAAAGTATTGTTCCTTGCGGAAATCGAACCTGCGACACGTTGTTCGGCAGCCGGTTGGCCAGCCACCGCACCAATCGTGCAGTCAAACTAGGTATGGCATGACAAACAAATTAGGTATGTTGTGCCATGACCACCATGACCTACAGTTATTTATAGCGTAATTTACGCTACTACGAATTGATTTATACATCCTGTTAATAAATCCAGATTGATAACATTGTTGTTTTTCTGGTAATAGATATATGTAAGTGACTGCCTCGTTGGCCGAGTGGTCGCCAGTGCGACTACCGGGCAAGGGGTCTCGGGTTCGATTGCCGTGTCGGGCAAAGTACTACTGGTCTTTTTATAAATTCTCAGTAGTAGAACGGAGTCTGGAACTGTGCCCGGTATAAGGCAATAGGCTCACCCCCTATTACATGGGATTCATTATATAAATAGTGAAAAGTGGGTGTTACATTGTACAGTGGCATAATGTACATCTCTGCCTACCATTTCGGGGATAAAAGGCGTGATGTATGTAATGTGTAAGTAGATAATGTTCTATTTTATTATAGGGATTTGTAAAGGCTACTGTTTGTTGCTAGCTGTCCCTATTGGATATTATTACCTTATTGTCGTCAATGTGTACATTACAAGTACCTATCTATGTCTATTTTTGGCTCACCGGAACTGAACAAAACCTTCAATCTGTCACAACAATTTAAATTCTATACACAAACAATTAAGCTTTATTTCTGTTAACCTCATAATGTCTAGTCCATTACAAACAAATTGCGAATTTCATGTACCTATTTACAAAAATGCCAACAGACCGTTACCCACAAAGCAGATGCTAATGACACGTCAAATAGTATGACATAATAAATGACGCCGGTAATGGCTAACGTATCCTGCGACAACAATCATTGGACGTAATAGAATGTTTCTGATTTGGCACAACAATACCAAAGTATTAGGAATATGAAGAGTGCGTACAGTTGTACACGAAAACTTTCGGTACGCATCGAAACGAACGCGGTCCTTCGGGACATTTGGGAATAAATTGACGTGTGACTAGGACCCAATTTTGTACATAGCATTACAGTTTATTTTAAATGGACTAATAATTTTTTAAAACATATTTTTATGTAATTGTAGGACCATGTACTATACACAACTGCACAAAAAATCCCATGAGAAAACAAACACACAATCGCATAATCATACGTAACAACTTCAACCTTGAAGGCGGCAGAACTAAAATGACTAATGGGTGACAACTACAAAAATATACTCCTTAACAGACCGTCGCAAATTCATTAAATCGACATCAAGATTAACCAGAGCGGCTAACGACTCATATCCTGTGCGAAGAGACGCAAAAAATATTAATATGATATCAAGAAAAGTTAATGTTTAACATTCATTGTACTTACACAAACAATTAATCCCGGACAATAGGGGCGGTATGCGTGTGAGTCACGTAAGACGAGACATGCGCGGACGCACCAAAATCGCGTTCGAACGCAGCTTGAGCGCGCTGTGAATGCTGATGTGAGGAGGGCTAGATCTACATACTGTTCAGACGGGATAGATTCGCTGTATAGCTTGATGGTTAGACCCTTTCTGTTTTAAACTCATTTAACATGCAACAAAACGAACTCGAAGTATTTCTGAATGCTAACATCGTCCACAAGCCAATAACAAAATGATATGAAAGAAAATCTTAATTAAACACAAATCAGGCTCCCATCTTACTCACCGGACAATTGAAATAGATTAGGAGTCATTGTATAAGGTCCATTGTCGTTGATATTAACCGACGAATTCAATGAACAGAGAAAGTCTTCATTATGATTTAATGATACGCTCAATTCAAGTCCACAAAATAAGTACGCGCGCTCTGACAGTAGCAAGTTTGCAAGTTTATAAATTCCAGGAGCTTTAAAAATTGAACGGCCATACTTTTACTTGGATTTTTATAGAACAGACCGTTTAATAAACTCAGATCTCATCTTTAAATCTGTTCGACTAAAAATTCCGTACCCAAGTCTCAATAAAGGCAGTAAATCTCTATCGACTTATCCGAGGTACTCGGAATCTATCAATTTTACGACATCGTCTATAAAACGGCGCTTCTAAGAGACTTATAAATCTATCAGACATCAGATCCCTGCACATGTCACCGATACTTGTCGTAATGAGATATCGGTGCTACACTCCACCTGGTATCGCACGTTTTCGGATGAGAGCGTTAATGGTACATAGTGCAGGTCCCATTTTACGGGTCATTGCGTACATTGTTCGTGTAAATTAGCGTTTGGTTTATGGGTCGGAGTTAATTTATTGATAGTGTATAGAGTAGAGATGTGTAGCAAATTCTATGCCATTACAATGCTTCAATTCAATGATCAGTATGATCACATTCAAATGACATTACGTGGAAGTGATGAATGTCTTGATTACTAAAAAAAACGTAATAGCGGACAAATTAGCATAATGCACTACATTTAAAATAACATTAGTCGATTCGACAACTTTAAAATTATAATAATCTGGACGAATTCTGAGATCTATTCCGTAGACATAAAGATGAAATTGAAAGCAGAAATGTATACTAGTCAAAACAAAATAAGGGCCACCACGTTTTTATAGTTTCCTCATGAAATTTTGAGGTTTAAGGGTTAATTAATGATTAGATTTGATAAATTAACTGTTTTTTATTATTAACAGCACAAAATGATGAAAGCCACATTCCAAAAAAATAAAATACCATTTTTTCTGAAAAACTAACATTTTTGCAAGCAAAACGTATGAAATAAAATTAAATGAAAAAAGAAAAACAAATCAGATATTGGTTGAATTGTAACTCCTCAATATTTAGTATGCCCTCCTCGTTTTCTAATGCACTCTTGAAGCCTGGATGGTACACTCTCCACCAAGTGTACCACTGTTTCTTGAGGAATTTGTTCCCAGCTTGATTTTAAAATGTTTATTAGCTGTCTTTCATTGTGCACGGGTTGGTTTGTGCTTCGAACGTTGCGTTTGAGTAAATCCCACATGTGTTCAATGGGATTGAGATCCGGACTGTTTGCAGGCCAGGGCAACACCTGTATACCAGCCTCCTCTATAGCTTCTCTAGTGGCCCTAGCTGTATGAGCGCGAGCATTATCGTGCATCAGACGGAATCTTGCGCCGATTCTTTGTGCATATGGGACCACATGAGGTCTTATGACCTCCTCGATGTAACGTTGAGCTGTAATTGTGCCTTCGTTGAGAATTATCAACTCAGTTCTACCTGATGTAGAGATTCCTCCCCACACCATAACGTTAGGGCCCCCAAATCTGTCACTTTCATGGATACAAGCATCCGAAAATCGCTCACCTTCACGCCTCCAGACCCTGATGCGACGGTCATCACTAAAAAATTTTACTTTGCACTCATCCGTAAACAATACTGTGCTCCATTCACTCATATCCCATGCCAGATGCTGCCTTGCGAACGATAATCGGTTTGCACGATGAGCACTTGTCAATGGTATCCGCACTACACGTCTCCTAGAGAACTGCTGGTCCTCGTGTAACCGATTTCTAATGGTTTGATCACTAACACGTGTACCCGTAGCCTGTCGCAAACGGTTTTGTAAGGAACGGGCTGTGATGCAGCGTTCTCTGCGCGCAGTCAAACGTATGTAGCGGTCTTCCTGTGCGGTAGTTGCTCGATTTCTGCCAGATCCCCGTCTCCTGGTTAGTCTCCCAGTCTCTTGAAATCGATTCCAAGCATTCTGAATTGCTCGCCGAGAAAACCCCAGCTGCATCGCAACAGAACGCTGCGAATGGCCTTCTTGAAGTAATGTTACGGCCCTAGTTACGGTTGGTAAGTCCATATGTCGTCGGATTCTCGGCATATCTTTGTTAAAGAAATAACTCAGCCAGAAGTAAAACAAAACTAAACTGTTCTTGACAGAATCGTCAGTTTGACTGACTTAAAATCCATCTTAAAATCGGGTAAAATCAAGTGGGTACAATAAATTATCAAAAACTGCCCACTTCACAGAGTTATGCCTGTAGAACACTTAAATAAATGTTTGTAAACAAATAAGGTAACGCTGTAATAACCATTCAGCTACTTGAGTACGAAGAAAAAATAAATTATCGCTGCCGCTGTTAAAAATAACAAGTGGCCCTTATTTTGTTTTGACTAGTATATTTGTAAAGATATAATCAGTTATTATAAAAGTAGAAGTCAGAAATTGCTGATTCATTAAAAATTAAGGGTTAGTTAAAACTGTTCTGTAACTAGAAATTAACTACAGCCTGGGAAAAAAGAAGGAAATCAATCCCGTTGAGACTCCAACGGCAATTTAGGTAATAGAAGGCCGAGAATTTATC